CCTGTCTGACCACAATGAAATTAAACTCAAAATTAATAGAAAATAAATCTGTAGTAAATATATAAACTCATAGAGATGAAACTACTCATTACTGAATAATGAATAAGATAAGGTAAAACAAGAAAGAAATAAGAAACATTTTGTAAGTAAATGTAAATGAAAAAAACCCCAACATAATAGATCAAAACTTCTGTTATGAGTTAAAAGCGTCCTATAAGGGAAATTTATATGTCCAAGTACCTACATTACATATGAGAAAGAACACAGATATATGGCTTAATGAAGAGATTTAAGAGCTTGAAAAACAGGAGGGAACCAACCCCAAATCCAGTAGATGGCAAGAAATAATAAAAGAACAGGCAGAAGTTAATGAAATAGAAACAAGGATAACAATACATAGACTCAATGAATCCAAGAGCTGGTTCTTTGAAACAATAAGAAAGATTGACAGACAATTGGACCAACTAACCAAAGGAAAAAAGAGGGGGGACCCAAATGTACGGAATCAGAAATGAAAAGGAAAACATTATAACAGACACTAAAAATTCATAATTTTGTTGGAAAATATCAAAAATACACAAAGTTCTGGATTCATGCAAATCCCCAAAGTTAAACCAAGAAGAGATTAACAAGCTAAACAGACAAACAGCAAATAGGGAGATTGAGACAGTAACAAAAAGCCTTCTGACCAAAATCAGGAACTAAGAGATGGGTTACAGAAAAATTTTACAAAACTCTCAAACAAGATTCACAACAACCATTTTAAGGTTATTCAAAGCAAGCAAGCAAGCAAGCAAACAAACAAACAAACAAAAAACCATCCCCAAAGAAACAGGAGGACTTCAAAACCCTTCTAAGAAGCTATCTGGCTCTAAAATGAAACACACACACACACACACACACACTCACACTCACACTCACACACTCTCACACACAGCAAACAAATGAAAACCTCTTAAAAACTACATGCCTATTTCCCTGATGAACATAGATGAAAAAATTCTTAGCAAACATATATGGTTATTGGAAAGAAAATGGCCAGCATACAGAGTGGCACAATTAGGAGGTGTGCCTTTGCTGGAGTAGGAGTGACCTTCTTGGAGAAAGTGTGTCACTGTGGGGGTGGGCTTTGAGGTCTCTTTTGCTCAAGCTATGTTCATGTGAACACAGACTCCTTCTACTGCCTGCAGATCAAGATGTAGAACTCTCAACTTGTTCTCCACATGTCTGACCGCATACCTCTATGTTCTACCATGATGATAATGGACTAAACTTCTGACACTGTAAGCCAACCCCAATTAAATATTTTCCTTTATAAGAGTGCCATGGTCATAGTGTCTCTTCACAGCAGTAGAAACCCTAAGATAATATGTAGATTAATTAAGATGATAAATCATATAAATGGGCTTAAAGAAAAAATTACATGGTTGTCTCAGTAGATGCAGAAAAAGCCTTTGAGAAAAACCCAAAATCTTCATGAGAAAAGTTGTAGAGAGAATAGGATCACAGGAACTATACTTCAACATAATGAATACTCTTTACAATAAATACACAAGTAGCCTTTGTAAATTCAGAAAAACCTAAAAGTAATCAATTTAAAATCGTGAATGAGACAGGGCTGTCCACTATTCCCACTCCTTTTCTTCATTTAAAACTTTCTTTTTTGGACTTAGTCCCACCTATACCCACCAGGAGAGGTGAGTGTGGGCCCTTATATGGTCTACATTTCCCTCACCCTCCTTGAAGTTTCCTTCCCCAGAGACTGTGTGCATAGTAGACCTACCCTGGTAGGCCAAACCATCCAGAGTCTGCCAACATTGCAGTCCTAGTCCTGCCTACACTCACTGGGAACAGGAGAGACCCCACCTGCACCCACTGGAAGAAGGGATGGGAAGATAACAATATAAGAACACACCCAACAACAGAAAGACAAATATGATGCCCCCAGAATCTATGGACTCTACAACTGTAAGACCTGAACATCCTAACACAAATAAAGTAGGGGAGAATGACATTGAAAACAACTTTGTGAAGATGATAGAGACCCTTAAAGAGGGAGTGAGAATATCCATTAAAGAAATGGAAGAAAAAAACAAACAAAAATGCAAGAAATGGAGGAAAAGACAAACCAAAAAAATCAAGACATAAACAAATCTCTTAAAGAAAGCAAGGAAAGCCAAGAAAAAACAACCAAACAAGTGAAGGAAACAATTCAAACAGTTCAAGTCTTGAAAGCTGAAATAAAGACAATAAAGAAAATACAGAATGAATGAATGCTGGAAATAGAAAAGCAGGGTAAACTATCAGGAACTACAGATGTAAGCATATCCAACAGAATGCAAGAGATGGAAGACAGAATCTCAGATGTTGAAGATATACTAGGAGAAATAGATTCATCGACAAAAGAAAACTTCAAGTCCAACAACTCCCTAACACAAAATATCCAGGAAATATGGGACACCATGAAAAGACCAAACCTATGAATAATAGGTATAGAAGAAGGTGAAGAAACCCATGGCAAAGGTGCAGAAACCATACTCAACAAAATCATAGAAGAAAACTTTCCCAATCTAAAGACAGACATGCCATTGAAAGTACAAGAAGCTTATGGAACACCAAATAGAGTGAACCACAAAAAGTTTGCCACATAATAATCAAAACCCCAAACATACAGAATAAAGAAGGAATATTAAGAGCAGCTAAGGAAAAGGGCCAAATAACATATAAAGGCAAACCTATCAGAAGTACACCTGATTTCTACATGGAAACTCTGCAAGTCAGAAGATCCTGGACAGATATTCTATCAACACTAAAAGACCACGTTTGCCAGCACAGACTACTACACCCAGCAAAGTTTTCAATCACTAGAGATGGAGAAAACAAGACATTTCATGGGAAAATCATACTTAAACAATAAATACCTACTAATGCAGCTCTACAGAAATTTCTGGAAGAAAAACTCCAACTCAAGGAAAAGTTAACTACAACAATAAAAACAGGCAATAGATAATCCTGCTTCACCAACAGCCAAAACAAAATAGGGGTGGAAATCAACAAACAATTCCAACACCACCACCAAATCCAAAACAAACAAGAATGAACAATCAATGGTCATTAATTTTCCTCAATATTAATGGCCTTAACTCACCTATAAAAAGACACAGGTCTGGACCGATAGCCTCCAAAACAATACAGAGAAACCCTGTCTCGTAAAAAACAACAAAAAAAGACACAGGTAACAGAATGAATACAAAGACTATCCTTCTGCTGCATACAAGAAACACACCTCAACTTCAACGATAGTACCTCAGATTTATGGGTTGGGAAAAGATTTTCCAATCAAGTAGACTCAAGAAACAAGTGGGGGTAGACATTCTAATACCCAAAAAATTAGGCTTCAAACTAAAATCAATCAAAAGAGATGTAGGAGGTCATTTCATACTCATCACAGGATAAATCCACCAAGATGAAGTCTCAATTCTGAACATCTATGTACCAAATACGAAGGCATTCACATTCGTAAAAGAACATTGCAAATCTCAATTCACACATAAAACATCACACACTTATAGTGGGGCATTTCAACACCCCACTCTTACCACTAGACAGGACCACCAGACACAAACTTAACAAAGAAACAAAAGAACTAATAGAAGTTATGACTCAATTGTGTTTAACAGACATCTGTAGAACATTCCATCTAAACACAAAATAATATACCTTCTTCTCAGCGCCACATGGAACCTTCTCTAAAATTGACCACATACTTGGCAACATATCTAACCTCAACAGGTACAAAAATTGGAATAACTCCCTATATCTTATCAGACCACCATGCTTTAAAATTAGAATTCAACAACACAAATTGCAGAAAACCTAGAAACTCATGGAAATTGAATAATGCACAATTGCACCATTCCTGGGTCAAGGAAGAAATAAAAAAATTTAAAGTCATCCTATAATTCAATGAGAATGAAGACACAATATACCCAAACTTATGGGACACTTTGAAAGCAATGCTAAGAGGAAAGTTCATAGCACTAAGTGCCCTCATGAAGAAACTGGAGAATAGCCACACTAGAGAATTAACAGCACATCTGAAAGCCCTAGAACACAAAGAAGCAAACTAACCCAGGAGGAGTACACACCAGAAAATAATCAATTGAGGGTTGAAATTAATAAAGTAGAAACTAGGGAAACAATACAAAGAATCAATGTAATGAAAAGTTGGTTCCAATCAAATGGACCTAAGAAACAAGCTGGTGTAGCTAACTTTATATCTAACAAATTAGAATTTAAACTAAAATTAATCAAAACAGATGATGAAGGGAATTTCATATTATCACAGGAAAAATTCATCAAGATGTAGTCTCAATTCTGAACATCTATGCACCAAATACAAAGGCACCCACATTCTTAAAGGAAACATTACTAAAACACAAATCACAAATGAAACCCCTCACACTTACAGTGGGAGACTTCAACACCCCATTCTCACCACTGGACAGATCTGTCAGACAGAAACTTAACAAAGAAATAAGAGAACGAACAGAGGTTATGACTCAAATGGACTTAACAGACATCTCTAGAACACTCCACACAAACACAAAAGAATATATTTTCTTTTCAGCACCTTATAGAACTTTCTCAAAAATACACCACATACTTGGTACTTCAACAGATACAAAAAATTGGAATAAACCCCTGTATCCTATCAGCTTAAAGTTAGAATTCAACAGTAACATTAATTTCAGAAAGCCCACAAACACATGGAAATTGAACAATGATCAACTGAACATCTATATCAAATGCGCCTTCAGCAGTGCAGAGCCCAGAGAAATCATTCCTAGTCATTGACTCTTAGCATTCCTCCACAGCTCCTCTGGTTTTCCATTTTAGTTGCCTATCCCAGGTCCCCACACAGGGGAAGACTCACCTGTGAAGAAAACATCACCTGTGTGGACTTAGAAGTCCCACTCACAGCTCTTAGCTCAGCTTACCTTTGGTTCCAAATCCAGAGTCCTCAGGTTCCCAATTAATAAGCCTCTTTTCACCCAATGTCGGAATTCTTATTGGCAGTGTATGACTGGGACTCAGTACGTGGGAGGAGACTTGAAAGATAGAGGAATCTACATCAGGTGGGCTTGTTGAATTAGGAAATGATGAACCAAGGCCTATGAAAAGAGACAACGTTTGTATTATTGTCAAAGAACCAGCAGTAGGAGTCAGGGTAGCAAGACTGGGGTCCTACCTGCTTGACCCCATACCATTCTCCATAGTCTCCTAGAGAGAATGAAGCTCTTACATGTGCTGCAGGGACATGGTACTGCTCTGGGACCATGAAGTTCACAACCTATGCTGGTCTACTCTAGTGTTTTGTGAGTCTCAATTTCACTCTGAGTTTCAGCTCCCTCATGTGGGTCTTTGACCTTCTGACCAACAGGGACAGGTAGCATCCTACAATGTAGTTCAGGCTTGCCTCAAGCTTAGGCTCTTCCTGATTAATCTCGCTGGTTCTGGGGTTATAGGAAAATGTCCATAAGCAGTTAATGATCTTATTTTTGAAGACTTATGATTTTTCTTAGTGTTTGATCTAAAACTTTAATGTGGGTATGGTGTCCAAAAGACAGAGATTCTGACAAACTTCTCAGGGTTGAGTTACATATTTCAAATAATATCTGGCAGAAATAAGTGGCATCCTAGAGATAAAGGTGAGAGTTTTTAGAATACAGTTTTGATACACAATGAAATATAAGCATGGAAGCTTGTGATTCATTGGAACTGTTTTAGTGGGACAACTTGGAAACCGGGAATACTGAGGACAAGAAATGATAGAATGATATTACTGGTAGCCCAGGAAGAACCTTTGTGGGAAGATGACATTAGCAGTCTAGTCTTTGCTGTAAAATATCAGTGGAGTCTTCCATAAGCCCCATGTTCAAGGGCCTTCTTGTGTGTAGCTTGAACATGTGAGATCTGCACATGTTAGAGAGGTGACAGGTCATCAAAGGGTGAGCAGCATCAATGCTCAGATAATGAAACAGAGACATAATCTGGAGAATGGCTTTTACTATGACACACATTAAATGATGCCAAGGTGAAAACTAGGTGCAATGGATTTTGACTCTATAGCTTTCATTCTGAAGGCTTCTTGTGGGGAAGAAAGTATGGACTTTGGATAGAAAGACAAAGTTTAGGTGTGGGCAGCACTTTTAAGAGTAGCAGCAGGATGAAATAGTAGGAAGTCATTACTCAAGTTCCCATTGTTCTAGATTCCATCCCTGCATCTTTCCCTATGATCTGTGAGCAGGGACAAGTTAACCTCTTCTCTAGACCTTGTGCACTGGCGAGAGTTGGCTACTTTGATGCTTGAGAAGAGGAAGAGGCAAGGGTATTACCTGAGTAAGTTGCAATAAGGGAAGCCAGACTGCAGCTGCGGCAGGGACCTTCCCTCTTTGTAGGGTCCTTCGCAAGGGAAGAGACCTTCTAGGAACTCAGGACCTGCACTACCTTGGGATTTTAGAACATATCCACATTTTGAGTTGAAATGTGGGTGCCATGTGGACTAGGCTCACTGCTCACCACCATGGGTTTCTGTAGGGGTGAGTCCACAAAACTCTTCATGCCCATAAGGGCGGAGATAGGGAAACTTAGCACAGGTGAGGATAAAAGAAAGTAAAAGAAAAAAGGAAGCTCTCTTTTCCTCAGGAAGCCTGCCATGCTTTCTGTCCCCCAGCTTGTATGTAAATAAATATATTATATTCCATATTGCATTGGCCTCCCGTCTCAGGTTTTCAGTTTCTTCATGTGTCAAATGCAACTTCAGCCCCGCAGAGCCAAGAGGCATAATTTCTAGCCTGTGACTCTTAACTTTCTTCTATGGCTACTCTTATCTTCCAGTTTAGTTGCCTGTCCCAGGTCCCCATACAGTTGGATCACCTGTGAAGAAACCTCATCTGTGTGAAATAGAAGTTCCATCCCCAGCTGTGAACTTATCTTATATTTGGTTTTGAATAAAAACTTCTCAGGTTCCCATTTAACAAGCCCCTTACCTGGCATTTGAATTTCTGTCAGATTTTCAAGTTCTGAGCTCACTAGTTGTAAGGGGCTTTTGATGAGCATGGGATCCATGTCATATACATTTTCTGAGCCTGGAAATGATGAAGAAAGGTCATGGGAAGAGAGAGTTAATGTGTGAGTCAGGGTAGCAAGGCTGGGATCCTACCACTTACACTCATACCCTTCTCCACAGTCTCATAGTGAGGATGATGTTCTTACACCTGCTGCAGGGACATGTTCCTGCTCTGAGACCATGAAGTTCGCAACCTATGCTGGTCTACTCTAATCCCTTGTGAGTCTCCATTACATTCTGAGCTTCAGCTCCCTCATGTGGGTTTCTGACCTTACTCCCCTAGCGACATATAGTATCCTACAATGTAGTTCAGTTTTGCCCTCTAACTCAGTTTCTTCCTTCCTTCATTCCCCATATTCAGGGTTTATAGGAATATTTCCACTACCAGTCAGTAATCTTATTTTTGAAGCCTTATGATTTTGTTGGTGTTTAACCTAAATCTTCAATATTGACGTAGTCTCCATCAGATAGCAATTCTGAGGAACTTCTTGGGGACTCAGATACATATTTAAAACAATAGCTGATAGTTATTAAGTGGCATCCATGGAAGGAAGGGAGAGTGTTTAAAACAGTTTTGATACACAGTGAAATTTGAGCATGGAATTCTGGGTGTAGTGGAATTGTTTTTATGGAACCACTGGCAAGCTGGGAATAGTGAGGAAAAGAAATGAGAGAAGGAAACTGTTGATAGCATGGGAGGAACCTTTGTGGGGAGAGAGGGAAGGAAACTGGTGTTAGCATAGGAGGATTCTCTGTAGTGAGAGAGACGTGAACATGAGGAGGATTCAGTGGGACTCACTGGGGTCAGCCACTCAACTGCACAGCAATCTATGGTGAAGTTAGTAAAGTAAGGTATATAGAAAGGTAAGCTCCCAGAGAATAGATAGATGGGATGTTTTATGTTAAGAAAAGCTGGCTGAACACAAGTCATCATGCTTTCATAAGTCAGAATAAGACTCTGGATTTATTTCAGAGCTGAGTAGCAGACCCTCAAATAGCCAAACAGTAAATAAACAACCTTTAACAGAAATTCTGACAAATTTCTTTGAGGCTGAAGCACACATTTCACATGATTACTGATGGTTATTAAGTGGCATCCTTGGGAGGAAAATGAGAATCTCTAAAACATAGTTTTGAATCACAATAAAATATAATCATGGATGTTCAGGATGGTGTGGAATTGTTTTAAACGGAACAACAGGGAAGTTGTGTGAGACACATCTAATCCCTTTTACAATATCTTTAGATACAATGGCTCTATTCCTGTCACACAGTAAGTAAAATCAGTGTGACTCTCAAAGGCAATGGACTTTGATTCTATCGTCAAAAATTTTAAAGCTTAATGTGGGGTGAAAAGAATGAACTTTGAAATTGAAGACGAGGATTAGGCAGGACTTTCACACTTTAGCAGTAGGTTGAAAGAGGTGTCTCAACTTTCCCATGGACCAGGTGTTCTAGATTCCAGCCCTGCATTTGTCTCTATGTGCCATGAACATGGACAAGTTAACTTCTTTCTCTAGACCTTGTGCACTGGAGAGAGGTGGATCCTTTGTTCCTTAAGAAGAGGAAGAGGCAAGGGTGTGTGTTGGGGGACAGTGTTTTTGTATACTGTGACAATGTGTCTTTGCCAAGGTGTTTTCTAGATGGTTTAATAAATGACCAATAGCTTTGGTGGAAGAGGTTAAGTGGGACTTCAGGGCAGAGAGGAAGAAGACATGAATCTATGTTCAGGAGAGATGCCAGAGGGCACAGGGACCAAATAGGAGGTGTATGATGGAAGAGAGGTAAAAAGCCGTGAGGCAAACCATAGATTAATATAAATGTGTTAATTTAAGTTATAATATCTAGCAGGGGAAGCCTAAGCTACAGGCTGAGCTTTTATAATTAATAATAAGTCTCCGGGTTTATTTTTTGTGTGTGTGAGCCTAAGGCCAGAAGAAAAATCTGTTTATAGGTGTGGCCTGTGTAAGTGAGATGAAATAAGGGAATTCAGTAGGAGAAAATGACTGAAGATGAGGCAGGAGCCTACCCTCTTCTCAGGGTCCATTTCAGAAAAAGAAACCTTGCATCTCCAGGACATCCAAGACTCTCTTCCCTGTGTCTTCAGTGCCCACTCATATTTATAGCTGAACTCTGGGAGCCAGTTGGGCTGGATTCACCATGATGACACTCACGGTTTTCAGTTTCTCCTTATGTCAAATGCATCTTCAGCATTGCATAGTTCAGATGGAACATTTCTTAGCCCTTGACCATGGCTTTTCTGCTTTTACTTGAGTGCCTTATTCAGGTCCCGTACAGGTGGGAACCTGCATGTTGTGAAGAACCACCACCCGAGTGAACTTGAAGTTCATCTCACACCTCCAATTTTAGTAAATCCTTATTTTGCATACAGACTGCTCAAGTTCCCATTTTACATTTTTTCTATCTGCGAGTGACTTGAGATACAAGGTCTAAGCCCAGTAGTTCTGGTGAGATGCTCTGGCTAAGAAATTCCATGTTAAGTCCCCCATAGCCTGAAATGAGGAAGAATGGGCTCTGAGAAGGAAACATTGTGTGGTTGTCAGAGAGGCAGAGGTAGGCGTCAGGGAATCTAATCTGTGTCGTTCCTCTTTACCCCACCCCATAGCCTTCTTCACAGTCATGTGGGAAGAATAATGCTCTCAGAGTTTCTGCTGAGAAATGGCCCTGCTCTGGGACCATGGAGCTCACAATCTGTTCTCTCTCTACACTAGTTCTTGGTGGGAGTCTCTAGTCTTCTCTGTGAGCCTCAGCTCCTTCATATGGGGCCTGAGAATATGTCCCACAGGTTTATGAACTATAATGACAGCAGCAGCAATTGCATGGGCTTGTATTTAGAACACCTGAAATTTTGGTGAAGATTACACTGTTTAATATTTATGTGGATTATCACTTTACTCCTACGGCCCAAGGAAATGGGTTTTTACCCTCCTCCTGTTTCCCAGATGGACAGAAAGATGCTTAGGTCTAAATGGGTTTTTACCCTCCTCCTGTTTCCCAGATGGACAGAAAGATGCTTAGGTCTCTAAAGTGTCTTGTCCAGAGTGGTAGGGCCATGATTGGAGTCTTCCACTGCCCAGCTCTAAAATCTGGGCTTGTACCTTAAGTGTCACCAAGGTCTTCTTTTAGGAGCTGGGTTGAATCATGTGCTCACCCCTCTCAGAGTCACTCTGAATGCCAGCATCACCCCAGTTCTGCAGCGTCAGAGTGCTCCTTCCCAGGGACCTGAGGATGCACTCCTGTGGAAAAGGATGAGGCGCTATGCTCACTTACGGGTTTCTACATGACTCCTGGGTCCAGACTCTCCTGGGCCTGTGAATCTTTTTGACAGGAGGCTAGCCTGCCCATGGAAACCTTGGCAGGAGGGCTCAGTGGTGATGACGGTGTCACAGTAGTTGTGGGTTGGGGTCCTTGGTGTACTTACCTAGCATCCAGTCCTTCTCTGACTGGGCTTGGGCTGTGATCTCCTGCAGCTTCAGGTCCATCTGCTTCCTCTTGTCTTGGGTGGGGTCCATGACTTCTTGACCCTGATACTGAGCCTCCTTGGTGCCATCCACTGTCTTGGGCTGAGCTTCTTCCATGGTGACAGAGCTCTCAGACGATGCTTGGCTGTGCAGCTCGCACTGGTCCTGCCTCACTTCTCCCTTCTGTTGCTGCTCCAAACAGGAGGCCAGGGCATCCTTGTCTCTGATGGCCATTTCTGCTCTGGGAAAGGGTGTGTGATCAGGATTGATGGTGGAGAGCTGGAAATAGAAGAAAGGGCAGAGCAGAGTCTACAGGGACAGACTGTCCTCTGATTAGAACCCCTGAAAGACTCTGGTCTCTCCTGGGGATGGAGACTGTGTGTCCAGGAGAAGGGGCTTGGGCTTTATAGGGCAGAAGAGGGAACTCTAGGAGGAAGGTTTATCAGTAGATGTGTTCTTTATAGTTTCATGAATGATGCCAGTGGATGTTCTCTCTACTGTATTGGCTTTCCTGTCAGGTAGGAATACTTACCATTATGCTGAGTCAGGGGGCACTCAGCTTTTCCATAAAATGTCTTCTTTTTGGTCATTAAGGTCATTTATATGACCCTGAGGACCAATAAAAAGAAGGGAAGTTTATTCTCTCATTGTCTGCTTGCAGGAGGGGATGATGAAGCTGGGGTTAGACACTGTACCCAGGGTTTAATGGGGCATATGTTAGGTGACTTCATGAACCAGGAAAACAGTTTTAATTTTATCTGTTGCAGTGGATCATGTTACTGCTGCCATTCACTCCTGAAGAAACCTTTGCAAACAGCTAACACACAGGGGCTACAGTGAATAAGGTGAGACTGAAGACAGGGGACCCAGTCAGCCCCTAGCCAGTGTACATTGTCCATCATGGACCTGTGATGCCCACGATGTGATCCAGGAGGAACTTGTGTGAAACTTTTAAAGGACAGGGTAAAAATGGCAAATAAAGATAAAGAGGAATGGAGTGATTAAGGGGAGGAGTCAGAGTAGAGGGAACAAAAGCCCATCCTTAGGAAGATGACTGTCACTGAATCTTTCTCTGAATTAAGTCTTCGGCCCTCTTGACCAGCTTGGATTTATTGATGCAGAAACAGCACTGTTTCTGGAGGAGGTCACAGTTCCCACCACTAGCAACATATGGGAGACCCATGTCTCTTTAACTTTGAGAACTACAGCAGTAAACACTTGGCTCAGATATAGCCATGAAAAGTGATGGAGAGGGAGGAGTGGGAAAGTGGGCATCTGGAGAATGGAGGGTGGGGAAATGGAGGGATGGGAAAGCAAGGGGATGGAAGGATGCAGGACATGGAGCAGGATAGCAGGGAGGATTAGAGGATGCTAATCAAGGACAAGGGTTGGGGATGGAGAAAAGGGATGTTGTGATTACAGGGACAGGAGCATGAGAGGAAAGGACGACAGGGATGGAGGATCCAGGGATGGAATGTGCTCCTCATCCTCCCTTTCTAGTGTTCCACTCTAAGGAGATCAAGTCATCAGACATCACTGTGATAAACGGTGAGGTGGGGACAGGCAGCACAGAGGGAGACTCAAGAGACCAGTCTGAGTTCAACCTAGGCCTTGTGAAGGAATCTTTAGAATTCTCCTGTCCTAGGTCACCACACAGGAACCAATCCAGAGTCAACTATTCTGGAAGGACAAATTATTCAGAGAAAATAAAGAGCCACGTTGACAAGTGTGGGGAGTTAAAGTCACCTAAGACTTTCCCAGAGGCCACAATGAAAGGACAAAGGGAGTGTTAATTCTGTGTCTTTGTCCAGGGTTGTATATGGTGAGCCTGATCTGACATTGGAGCCAGTGCCTTGGAGGAACTGGAGTTGTAGCTTCTGGGGACCCAGCTCTTCCCTCTAAGCTGTGGTTATCAGTCGTAAGGCAGTTTGTCTGGAGGATCCTGTGTTCTTTGCACATTGTCTGACTTAGGTCTCTGCTGACCTTGGCTGTCCCCTCTACCCCTCAAATAGCATATATGATGCTGTACTTCCCAATAAACATGCTTGGCCTAAGCAATCAGCTCATGAAAGACTTGAGGCTCTCAGCTGATGCTTTTGTCCTCTTTATTTCTCATCCCCAATCTTCCCATTTAACGCCTCTCCATTCATGAGCCTTATTCCTGCAGCTTCAGGTCAGACAGGAGAGAGGAGGGTGCAGGTTAGGCTATGACAGGAGCAGGCACAAACAGGTGAATTCAGCAACCTCTCACCCAACCAGTGCTGGCTGCAGACTCTCCATGTAGTGGTTAGAGCCTGAGTCCTGGCTTTCAGGACGAGTTCCCCTTGTCTGCCACTGTATGCCATCGTGCAGTCAGGCAAGAACTTATTTTTCCACAGCTCAAAAGGTTTGGTGGACTCTGTTGGTCCCACTACTCACCTTGCTCTTCTACGGGGCTCACTGATGTGTGTGTCCCTGGCCAAAGCTCCTCAGCTAGAAACCATCTTCTGCGAAAGTGAAAGAGACTCTGGCTCCTCCAGGAAGCCAGGCATCTGAACCCTGGGATTGGAGGTTGAAAGTTATCTAGCTCATTTCCTGTTGAGAAGTCTCTGTAGATGCCTGGGCCAGGGGAGTCAGGCTTGAGAGCTTCATTCAGTCCTGCAGAGGCCCCGCCTCCTATTGGTTGCAGGTCTCATGCCTGAGTATCACTTCACTCATCTCTAAAGTGGGGACTCCCAGGTTTGCCACAGGTTTGCAGAAACTCCTGGATCTCCCAGACTTGTGGATCTCTGCGGTCTCCCTCCTCCCTGCAGCCTGCCCAGCCCACAGGCTCTTCATTTCGGGAAGTGACTCTCAGGCCCCCAAACTTGCAACTCTTTAAAAATTATTTTATTATTTTCATTTTAAATAGCTTGCTTCACATGTCAATCCCAGTTCCCTCTCCCTCCTCTCCTCCCGCACCCCTCCCACCATGCCCCCCCAGCCTCCCATCCTATCACCACTTCCTTCCACATAGGGGATATCTAGAGTCTGTCATTTCGCTCAGGGCAGGGTCCAGGCACTCCCCTAAGAGTCCAGACTGAGAGAGCATCCCACTTTGTGTTATGGACACACGATGTCTGTTTGTATGCCAGGGATAAACACTGATCATACTGCCCAGGGCCCCATAGGTTGCCCAGGCCTCCTCACGGACTCTCACACTCAGAGGGTCTGGATCAGTCCCATGCTGGCCTTCTAGCTCTCAGTCTGGGGTCCAAGAGCTCTTTCTTTTCAGATCAGCTGTCTCTGCTGGTTTTGCCAGCCCATTCTTTGCCAATTTGCTCATTGTTCCTCTCTCTCTGTCACTGGGTTCCATGGGTTCAGTTCAGTGCTTAACTGTGGGTGTTTGCCTCTGCTTCCATCAGTCACTGGATGAACGTTCTAGTATGGTTATAGACATCAAGTTCATTATCAGGAATGGGCATTTAAGGTGGTCTCTCCACTATTGCTTATCTTGCCAGTTGGTGTCATCCCTTTTGATCACTAGAGGTCTCACTGGTGCCAGGTCTGTCTTCTAACCTATGACTCCCTCTTCCCCCCTATTCTTGCATCTTTTCTCACTTCTGGACACTCCTAAACCACAGATCTGGTCTGTGATTTTTACTAACATACTTTTTCCTGTTAGGGAGTGGTGTGTGTACATGTGGAGACATGTGTGTGCATGTGGAGACATGTGTGTGCATGTGTGTGATCTGAGAGCTTATGGATTTGTCTAGTCTAGCTTGTCATCCAGCTGGGGTACTCCCTGTTTCCTCCTCCTGAGCTCTGGAATTACAAGCCTTAGCCACGCCCAACAGGCATCTGTGAGGGTGCTGGGGATGAGAGCGCATGTCCTCATGTTTGCAGAGCAAGTGCTTTATCCTCTGAGCCATTTCCCTAGACCTCACACTGACTTTTAACAGATCTGTAATCTGAGTCTGCTCACTGTAGCTAAGGGACAGCTGGTCCAGCCAGCATCCTGGGTCTCTGCTCTAGGTTCCTAACTCTCCCTGCTCTTGCTTCACGGTCTATTCTCAGTTTTGAAGCCTTAATCACATATCTATCATGTAAAACAGTTTCTTAACTCAAACCTTCCTATCCTTCCACCCCACTCTGAGTGAAATACTGGCTCCTCTCAGCCGGTCACGCAGCTCTACATGAGTTACCCCATCCCCCCTGCCCTTTTCTGGCATAGAAGCCACTTTGTGCTCCTCACTCGCTCTGCTGTGGGTTACTGCTCTGCCTCTGTGTTCCTTGGACACGTGAGGAATTTGTGTTGCACTGGCTTCACCACTCTTTTGGAATGACTTTCTGCTAGGTAGAATCTTGCTAACCCTTTTCTGAAACACTGCTCTTCCAGATTTATCTTTCTTTATTCCAGCATCTCAAAGTTGATTTGTTTCTGTCACTTCTACCTACAAAGAGAATGGAAACTCTTGGAAGACAGGAGGAAGTGTGTTTGTTGATTGTTATATCCTATGGGTCCAAGTTAGTTCCTGACCCTCAATATCTGCCTTGAGGTGCTCACACTCACAGTCTCTGAGAGGTGGTTATTTCTTTAATATTAACATTTATTTATGTGTGTGTTTATGATATATACATATATATACATACATACATATATATATGAGGTGTGTGTATTGTGTGTGCATGGTATGTGTGTGGTCTGTTCTTGTGGTATATGTGTGTGTATATATGTTTGGTGTGTGTGTGTGTGTTATGTGTACTCATGCCATAGAGTACATGTGTTAGTCATAGGACAACATTTAGGGTTCAGTTCTCTCTTTCTACAACATGTAATCCTGCAGTTGGATTCAGGACATCAGGATTGATGGCAGGTGCCTGTTGAAAGGGAATGTATAGGCCTAGGACCCTCAAGACCAAATTATTAGACCAAGTTCTCAGCACAAAGGAGATTTATTTGCCCCAGAGGGATAGAGGGCAGGGATAAGGGGCAAAGACAGGAGACAGATGAAGAGGGAGAAAGGGAAGGGAACAAGGGAAAAGGGGCCAGGGTATAGGAGGAAAACAATGCCACCATTCACCATGTGACTTACTAGAGGCGCATACAGATGAGGTAATAAAAGAGCGGTTTACCGCACCGCTAACCACACCCACTTTAGGCATGACTAAAGACATATATGGACGTAAAGACGTATATGGATGTAGACGGTAAATTACATCACTAGCCAGGCCCACTTTTGGGCATGGCTAGGGGCGTTACAGGGGGAAGGTATAAAAGACTGAACAACGGAAGTCTCGCTCTCTTTTTCCGGCTCCTGGCTTCCAGTTCGGCAGCGGAAAACTACTCGGCTCATCTGGGTTACTTGTTTGGTCTCTTGTGAGTAATTTCTACAATAAATACTTATTTTTACTTTCAGTAAGTATGCCGTTTATCGTTGCAGCATCAAAAGATGGATGCCCCAACATTACAGAGAAACTTCAGGTGACTGTCCAGGCAGCAAGATGTCTCTGTCAATCCTAGTGTTTATATATTATCCTTCTGTGGTCTTTGATAGAGTTGAAGGCAGATAGTTATAATTATAGTTTTCCTTAGTTATGATAAAAGATAAGCTACATATAGAACTTTGGATTCACAAAGATGGGATGGATGATATTTTCTTTAAATCTTGCTGAATGTTGATAGACAAAATATTGTAACTGTGTTCTTACTTGATAACTGTTCTGTTATATATATATATATATATGTATATATATATATATAATTTGACTATGTTAAAGTTAAGACCTTTCTTTTGTTTAGACAGAAAAGAGATGATGGGGGAAGTCCTGTGTATATGTCAATAAATCACTGTTGGCCAGTAGGGAAGCAAGATAGGTGGGACTAAGAGTCCAGGAGGACTCTGGGTAGGAGAAACACAGGGAGTCAAGATGTAACTGCCATAGGGATAAAAAGCCCGGAAAGTTCTCCGGTAAGAGAAATACTTAGATTAACAATTATGGGATAAATACTTAAATCAGAGCTAGCCAGTAATAAACAAGCTAGGCCAACAGCTTCATAATTAATATAGCCTTCTGTGTGTTTATTTGGGACTGATGCGGCTATGGAACCAGGCTGGCGGGAAGGCTTCTCTTTACACCTGAGTATCTGTCCCTGAAGACAAAGGACTCTCTCTGGAAAGAGAGGGGACAGATGTGGCACATAGGAACATGACAGTTTGTAAAGGTACAAAGGGAAAACCCCTGTTAGGATGAGGTAATTAATTTTAATTAGGCATGTTAATTAGGTGAACTAAAGGGGACTTTGATTTCTGGGTTTCAGTATTTTCTTATCCTTTTCTCTATTGTGTTGTTTCACAATCTTAAGCAAATAAGGCAAAATATAATTTTTAAAATATTATATATATATATACAGTGCTCTGCCTGTGTGTATGCCTGCAGGACCAGAAGATGGCACTAGATCTCATTACAAATGGTTGTCAACCACTATGTGGTTGCTAGGAATTGAACTCAGGACTTCTGGAAGAGCAGCTGGTGCTCTTAACCACAGAATCATCTCTCCAGTCCTGCAAAAATAGATTATAAAGCCAATAGAGCTATTATTGCTAGAACAAGGGTACAATCACTAGAACAATAAATTTATTATGACGTGCAGGATTAAAAGAGGCTAAGGTATCTAAAATGCTTTCCATAGCATCTATTCCTGTCATATCAGGTAACCTTTTTTGAAAAGGTTTCCTTAATTTCTTGCTGTAAATCATAAATCATTTGAGAAGAATTAGGTTGACCCATGAAATGTATCTTAACCTTTTCCCAGTCATATTTGCTGCTATTGAACTTTAAAGGTGTAATACAATAGAATGTAACAGTCCAATCACATTTTAATTTTATCTATTCTGTCAACATATCTAACTGCTCTCCCATTGGTATTGCAGGTTGTCTGAAATCAGGTATATCATTAACTATGTCACTATCTCTTTCATCCTATTGAGTCCAAAGTTCAGTAGAATGGTTATGCCAGTTGTGAACAAACTCAGCAGTTTGACTTTCTTGATGAAGCACCTGTCCGGCTCTAGCAGCTATAGTACTTAATGTAATAGCTCCCATAATCACAACATTAATTGGTCAAATATCTAACAAGCTCTTCTTAAGACTCTTTCATCAAGCTTCTGTATTAGAATCATCACAGGAGAGCCTTGCCACAGCCTTGACAGCTTCACCAGCATCCATACTGCTGGCCTTGCTCTAAGAATGGGTGAACTTCCAGGGGCCACATCAAAGACATACTAGAATTAGCACATGTATGAAGAGTACAGTGGTCACAAGCGATACTAGAGTGTCCCGACCCAAAGGACGTCAACCTGGAGCAAGAGACCTAAGGACCGCGGATGGGGAGAAGAAGACGAAGGAATGACCACATGACAAGCAGCTGATCATGTGGAAAAATTTATTTTTCTCAGGGCAGTTAATATACTTGGTAGAGTAGGAGAATTGGAGGGGGGTGGGGGGCTAGGGGGTTGCTTTGAGCACCACCTGTGCATGTAGCAGGGTATTGTTTAAGTACATAGAGCAGGATATTAGCAAGGTAAAAAGTTCAGA